CCCCCCCCTCTCCCTCTCTCCCTTCCGTCCGGCACCCTCAGACACAACGTGAGGCTGCATCAAGCGGGGCCTGCTCTGCTCGGCTCCTCTGTAGTGCCGATAGAGCGCTCACGTGCTGACCTGACAGGCGATGGCTTGCGCCCCTTGTGCCCTCCCCCCTCTTTTCTCAGACTCGTCGCTGCCCTCCGGTGAACTGGTCTGTCTGAACGCATCTCCCAAAACTCGGCCCTCTGAAGTCGTGTGCTTTTAACTCGCCCCTCTGACCCCATCTCTCCGAAACCGCCTCTTATTTGATTTCATCTGGCATCTTATGCAGACGTCAGAAATAAAATGTAGTCGTTTAATGTTACTGCCAATAAAAATGATTTGTTGTACATTACCCACGCACTGTTAAAAATATTTAATCAGGTATCCATTACTTACTCTATGGAGCTATTTCTATTACATATGCACTATTTTATGTCTCGTAATGATATTTAATAATATTTCCATGACGTACTGTGGAACTTCATGAGTTAATTTTATGTGAAGAATATAAACTATGGCCCTCTACTGTGCCCTGAAAGAAGGTCTGAAGCGCTTCTACGGCCGTCGTCGTCAGGCAGCATTAGAGGTTTCAGTGAGGAGTGACGAGTAGTAATTAGAGTCTGAGGAAAGCGATTTCTTAGGGAAAAGTTGAAGAGGATGGGATGGAGAGAGGGAGAGGGTGGCGGGAGGGGTAGGGGAGGGGTGGTGGAGGTAGAGAGAGTGAGAGAGTCAGAAAGGGTATGTCGGGGGAGACGAGGCGCAGAGACGGCACACAGACGCACACTTTTGTTCTGGCATTATGCCTCTCGAGCCTTGCCCTCTTGGCGAGACGTCTAGCCCCGCGGCCCCGCGGCTCGCCGTACGGGCACGACAAGTTTCTTGTCGCGGACGCCGCGGGTCGTCCCGGAGAAGAGGAGGAGGAGGCCCGGCCCCCCTGGCTGCCGGAGTTAGGCCCTCCCGACAATGAGGAGAGCCCTGCTGCTCGTGTCTCATCATCTCATCTTGTTTTAAAGATTAAAAAAGTAGAAGATTAAAGTTGGGAAACTTGTCATGGGTCTTTTTAGGCGTGACGCTATTCAAATTGCTGCTACACGTGTGTTCACGACGTCCACTGCTCGTTGCACGACTGAAATTCCTCGACCCTAATAGAGTCCAAAGAGATTCAGCACCCCCTCCTGGACCACCCTCTCCTCCCTCCCCCCTCCTCCTTCGCAGACGTGGGCCCGGTCCGCCCCTGCTCTTCTCTTGTTCTTTCCTCCAACAAAGAGGCTACCCAAACTGTGTTCGCCTTCCTTCACCTGTCCCCGCTTCTCCTCTCTCTCTCTCTCTCTCTCTCTCTCTCTCTCTCTCTCTCTCTCTGCTCTCCCTACGCAAACACGCCAATTGTTGACCCGGAGTTGAGTTCTATTCAGGAGGCTGCGATGGGGGCGTGGCGTGGCGTGGCGGGGCGGTGCGCGAGCCTTTGTCGCCGAGGTGGGGGTGGTGGGGGGTCATGTCGCCGTGTAAGGTTAATTGCAGGCTAATCCACCTCGGGCGGCCGTGCGTGGAACTCGCGGTTATAGCAATGTTTTGCCAGCTGGTTACTGCCGCCCGGGGGAGGGGGCAATAACTCCGGGAATCAGGTGTACACCTGGAGGTACCTGGGAATCATCAGGATAAAAATTAATCGAAATCAATAGAATTCGCTTAAACTGAGCGGGAAACTAGTGGAACTGATACAAATTGGTCGAAATGAGCGTTTTCTACCACTAGAAAACCCGAGGAAACCTAATGCATATTAGCAGACGGGAATCACTGGGAATCAAGTATTGCGGGAATCATGTGTACACATCAAAAGGGAGTTATTGCCCCCTAGCTGCCGCCCCTTCTTTTCATTATTATTATTTTTTTTTTTTTTTTTGTAACACTTCTCTCCCGAATTTGAAAAGTACACTGGTAAAGCAAGTAGTGTGCACAATTCGCACACTAACGTATTCAAGTTATGATTACATGGTACATGGTGTTCACCTCAACTAGGACACTTGCGCACATTCTAGACGTTGTGCAAACGTTTAAATTCTGCACACTTCGACACACACAGTTCTATGCTACCAATTAGGAACCACATGGTGTGCAGATGCTATACTTTTCGGATGTGACGAAAGTTTAAACACCAATGGACGTTTAACCTAGTTAGACACCACAATGTCTAAAAAATACACACTTGAACTTAAACATCAATTGACGTGCAAAATTAAACATTTCACTTGTTTTACCAGTGACCAGTGTAAAGGCTCTGTTCTAAAGGCTCTGTTCTTTGCCCTGCAGCCGACTTTGCGCTCGGTCTCAATATTAAAGTAAACTTGAGAGAGTAAGATTCAAGTTTTGTCGTCTTCCACGCGTTATTTTTGTGGTGTATAATATGTGAGGACCTTCTCATCTTTTATTGCGTTCCATGAAAAACGAAACGATGGGGTCGCCTATTCAGATTTTTAGTGTACATGGAATATCTTAAATATTTTTGGAATATCTGGAATATTTTGGGAATATCTGAGAAAGTTTTGGTGGAAAAATTGGAATACGTTTGGCACATCTGGAATATGTTTGGAATATTTTTCAGGGTGTACATGGAATATCTAAGTGATCCACCCCTTGGAATCCAGGGGAATTATTTGTCTCGTCGTGCCTCTGCCTTCGCCCGACTACCTATGTGTGTAACGAACAAAAGTGAAAGGGGCTTAAGTTCCGACAGAAAACAGTGAAGGGAAGAGGAGGGGGAGGGGGTGAGGTAAGACCAGAACGGCGTAGCTACTGGAGGACTTGTTGTCGGAATGAAGATTGGGTCCTTTGCGCGGTGTCCTTGCCTTTGAGCGCACCCCCCCCCCTCTCTCTCCCTCCCCCCTTCCCCGTCTGGTCTTTAGTGGCATGCCCCCTACTTGCCTCGCCTGGAAGATCCTGAAAACCGACGGAACAAAGAATCCGTAATAATTAAACAACAGACGACGTATACGTCAACTGTAGCCTGCCGTACCACTTGGTTTGTTTCAGATAAATCCTAAAGACGTTTGTCATCAAAGGCCCCGTGGTTTGCAGGTGTACAATTGGCGGCAGACAATATCGAGAGCAATCAGCAGCCTTGTGTTCATTGCAACGCACAATTATTGCATGTTTTATCGTGTTTTATTGTCGCTCCATTTCCCATATATCGGACCAATTAAATGCGACCTAATTGAGAGGAGGAGGAGCTGGGGATGCCTGCCGCACAGGCCACGCTCCAACGGGAACGGGCAACCATGAGACGACCAACCCTCCCAACGGGCAACCCTCTGAAGGACAACCCCTTCGTCGGGCAACCCTCCGAAAGACAACCCCTTCGTCGGGCAAACCCTCCGACGGGCAACCCTCCGACGGGCAACCCTCCGACGGGCAACGCTCCGACGGGCAACCCTCCGACGGGCAACCCTGCTGCGGGCCACCCGACCCGGTACGCGGTACGCACGGAGCGCGACCCTACCGCGGTCTCATTCTGTGGTAATGGGAGAGCAGAGGTCGTATGCGTAATTTATGACAAAGTAAAAGAGAGCACAGAAAGAAGGGGGAGGGGGTGGTCTGTAAGGGGTGGGGGAGGGGAATAATTTTAATTTTGAAGTGGTCGTCGTGGTGCAGCTACAGCAGCGGCCGAGAGATGAGGCATGCGCCCCCGGCCCCCGCATCTCTCCCTATCACTCCCTCCCTCTCCCGCTCTCCCTGTCCTGCTCTCTCTCTCTCCTGCTCTCTCTCTCTCTCCTGCTCTCTCTCTCTCCTTTTCTCTCTCTCTCTCCTTCTTTTCTCTCTCTCCTTCTCTCTCTCTCTCATGCTCTCTCCCCCTCTCTCTCTCTCGCTCTCTCTCGCTCTCTCTCTCTTTCTCTCGCTCTCTCTCTTTCTCTCGCTCTCTCTTTCTCTCTCCCGCTCTCCCCCTCCGGACTCTTCTCCCTTACCCACCCCGTTTCCTCGTGTTTCCTTTCTCCGCTTGCCGCTCTTGCCCCTTACCTATAATAAAATAAAATATAAGTAAATTTTCATCATTCTTTTTTTTTTTATCTACTGTCTTTTCACTAGTGTCAGGAAAAATATCGTAATTTTTAAATTTAAGTTTATAAACTTCTCGTGGAAGGTTTTTTCGCCGTCTATTGTTAGTCTATCCTTTGTTTTGACTTTGACCTCGGTTTTAACCTCTTCTCACACGTGGTCCATCCACTGTGTCTGTGATGGTCCTGCTAATAAACCTTTCTGTTTGTTCCTGCAGGACGGGGAGCGCGGCTACCTGGACGGGCTGGCCTCGCGCTACGCGGACCTCTACCGGACGCACTACGCCGACGTCCTGGAGCACCTGGAGCAGCTGCGGCGCCGCGAGTGGGCCGACATGTCGCCGCGGATCCGCGTCCTGGGCATGGAGTCCCCGACCACGCCCACCTCGCAGCCCATCTACGTGCCCGGGAAGTACTCGGTGAGTCAGCGAGGGAAGGGTGATTTATTAAAAATTATTTTTATGTTAATTTTCATTATTTTTTTAAAATTCGTGAAAAGTGTTTAAATCAACGCCGAAATTTGTGCATTAAATGTGATTGCTTGAATTCGAACAAATTAAAGATAGGTACCGGGTGTAACTGTGAATACGCAGCAGTGTTGCGGGTTTGCATACTCTTTACACCCGTAAGGGGCCATGGCCATGGCCCCTGCGGCCATGTGGAGTATGCAATCCCGCAACACTGCTGCGTATTCACAGTTACACCCGGTACGTGTTACGGGTGTGTTACTGCCCGAGAAAGTGTCATCTTCTTTCTTTCAGTCACAAGTACTTTGAAAGTCACGTTCCTAGGTCCAACGCAACGTAAATGTAATACTCTGTTCAAATCCACCAGCAAAACCAAAAGAACGTTGTGTATATTTGGCACAACTTTTTCTGATTTTCAACTGTTTATACATATTTTTCTCGTCACTACCCTTCCCCCCTTTGCCGATTTCACACTCGCAAGTATTTTCTTCCAAATTTCCATTCTTGTTCAGTGTTCTCACAAATGTCCTGTATGTTTGGTCGCAGCCCTCGTCCTGCCTGAGTGACCGGGAGGAGGACGAGATCTATGGCCTGACTGGCGCGGGCCGCCCGCCCGCCGCGCCACCCTCCACGTACCAGGCGTGAGTGTCCCTCGCATTTTAACACTATTTTGTGTTTTTGAGTGGATTTTACTGAATGTTGCCTCCGATTTTCTACAGATGCCTGAGTCCTCGAGCCGCCTACTTCTACGAACTTCCGCCAAACGGTAAGGGCCTCTATATGTCTGCTGTCCGTCCCTCTGCAACTTAGTGTAGTAGCGATACCGCCAAAACCAAAATCCAATACAACCGTCGAAAATGCTTGGCAACGTTGCAAAGTATACAGTTTCCAAGAATTTTACAGTGCAGCGTTGTGGTGGGATATCATCCAGCATCCAGAGAGTATACGTCTTTCTGTCATACCGTATTGAAACCAAGGTCTACCGACTCGAGCCAGCATAGCGCCTGGTGGGTAGGCAACATCTGGCCGGCAGTGCATGCGTGTCCTGCGGGGCGGCCTACCCCGAGTCTCGCAGGCGCCGAGCCGCGGAGCCGCGGCAGTGCACTGGTCCCCTCGAGGGGGGGGGGGGAGAACGGTCGGGCCCGAGGTAGGCCTATATACAGCTGATAAAGTATCACGTAAAGAGCTGCTTTTGCTGGCTGGTGTTC